AAGAGACAGACACAATCTAATTTGATTGTGTTAGTTCGTGATGTGAGCGACGAAATGTCTCCTTAACCACTGATTTACTTGCGAACATCGGTAAAATGGGGGCGGAAAAAAAAAAAAAAAAAAAAAAAAAAACCTCCCTCCCTTATCAGTTTTTGTTCTTTGACAGCTTGATAAACTAATAGGCCTAATTTATTTTATAGGGCCATAAGTGGCGGCCTCAGATAGAATTAACACAATTTATCAGACTCAAAACACCGAGGAAAAAATTGCTTTAAAATAAGAAAATAATGAGGTTTTCATTTTAAATGAACTAAAATACCAACAAATCACTAGTAAATACAGCAGTTAGTGCCCAGGTCCGTAAAGGCCCTCTTTACACTGCTATAAATAATAATGTTTAATCTTTGAAAAGTGGGTAAAAAGATGAACAAAATAAGAACATTTGAAGGCAGAATATGGCAAAAAAGGGGGAAAAATAAGAACACTTTGGCCTAGCCTTTTTTTTTATTTATTTTTAAGAAAAGGAAGACTACCTCACACACAATGAGACGTGTGTGAGAAAATGTACAACCACATCGCAGCAATATACACACAATACAACCAATCAACATTAGGGCCTATTTTATATGTCATGTTTCAAGTGTTTCATGTTTTCATTGTTTGCGCCTGGAAATAAATAAAATTAAAAAAAAAAAAATAAATAACATATTATAAACTACTGCAAAACAAGAATATGAAACAGGCCTAAGAGTAAAACATGTTAAAATGTAATGGTTATATTGATCGAAAAGAAATTCTGTAAAATGTTGATCTTTAGAAGTAGGCCTACAGGTCTCCTTCCAATTAAAAAACCCTCCAAAGACCACCTCCAACTTACCACTTTTCTGCCCCGATCGAATATTCCCTATGTAGCTCTCTATTTAGTGACCAAGGACCTGGTGGTTTTGGCGGACCCAACGTACCGTTCTCAGTAACCCATAGTTACCAACCTGAGAGGTTTGAAATGCGTGAGTAACTATACCAGTTGGCTGGGGAGGGGGTCCAAGCGGCAGGGGAACCAACTACCTCCACCCCGCCGCTCCGACGATCTGAGCATTTTTGATAAGATAGTATAATACATACTCCAAGTTTAAAAATGCACGCCATCGTGTTCCCGACACGATGGCGTGCATTTTGTTCAATATTTCGACATTAATTATGTCATCATCAGGAATGATGATTATTGAATAGAAGGCCTAAATGGAAACGTATGGAGTATTCGGTACGTTAAGACATCAGGTAGGGTAATAATCACTCCTATATTCCTGAGGCAAACTCACATCTTAATAGCATTTGTAGTAACTTCAATCTGGCTAGATAATCTGGAAGTCGTGTGTTCGATTCCCACACGAACCATTTTTTCTTTTTCAAATTTTTCTATTGGGTAGTAATTGGGGAAATCTAATTTGAATATTTTTATAACCTATTTCTTAACATGATTTAAACCATCGCGTCTGCGTTTAACCAAAGATAATAAATACTGCAGAAGATAGAGCAGCTTCCCAATATAATGGAACATCCGTTCAAAAGGCATTGTGGGTACACGGAGAGCAATTTTACCTCATCCGCGCGGCGGCGCTATATATAATAAAGAGCAATAAAGGCGCCGCAATGGTTTGTTTGTTTCCTGTAGTTTCTCCACTTAGTAAAATGTTCAAATTTTACCTCATCCGCAGGAGGGCGAATGTTCCACCGATTTTAATGCAAATACGCGGAGCAGCTCATTCTTCTGCTATTTAAGTTCATTGGTTTAACCAACACAGACCCGACGCGACAACAAATCGCGTCGAAGTCTGTCGTACGACGCTGTCTGAGTTGGCCGTAAGGTTCGAATGTTTCTGCCGTGGACTGGAGGGAAGTAGGCCTAAGTATGCTTCTCTCCCACACTTGAAAAATCTTTTGCATTGATAGAATAATTCGTATTAAGCTTTTGCATTGATAGAATAATTCGTATTAAGCTTTTGTGGACGTGCTTGGCCTAGGTTTGGGCCTAAAATGGAACTCAAGTCTGATTTATTCGTTTTAAATATTCCCATATTTTATGGGGTATTAGGTCATACAATAGTTGTTCAGGGGTCAGTAATCGTTCTTCGAAATGATTGCTCATGTATTTCATGGTGGGGTTAAGCAAGCACACAGCCAAAACAAAATAAGGTAAAAAAATGAACAAAAAAAAAAAGACCAATACGATTTACGATCGTATCCTTTAACTTCCTTTTCTAACTTTTACACCAAAGAGTTTTTGGGAGCGAAGAGCGAAAACAACATACTATAATTTTTGTAGCTGTATACTCAATTGCACACAAAACGGATGAAAATATATTACATTGGCCTAATAAGAGATGAGATATTTATCTATTATTTTATTTTTAAAAAAATCGCTGAAAAACGTACGGTACAGGTTATAACTACTAAATAGGTGCAGGACCGATTTTGGCTTATGTGGACTCCACATTTACAGGTCAAGTGGGTTCACCCTGATACCACACTGTTTGAAAATCCCAGGTGTGTATCCAGGATATTTTCTGGGTGGGTCGTGATAATTTTTCGGACTTTTTCAGTAGGGACCGGAAAATCGATTACAGCGCCACCAACTTGAAGCGAATGGCAGGCTCAGTTTCAGAATTGCTGAAATTGAGATAGAGATTACGTCACGCAATTGGCGAGGTCTTTGTCTTTGGGCTGAAAAAGTGATTTAGAAATTTACGGACATTAGCTCCGACATGTTCAACAGGGGCCAAGCTAAGAGATCGACTTGAGCCTCAGCCAGATCCTGGTAGGGTCCACGGGCAGACTTTTTTATGGCTAGTATGGCCGAAATTGTAAAGACCTAGACCACAAAGGATTCCTAAACTTACAACGTTATGCAGTGGCGTAGAAAAATATTTTTCATTGGGGGGGGGGGGATGATTGGCGTGTTAACCAGTGTGGTAACAGGCGCGGGGGGCAGGGGGAAAAACTTCCCCTCCCATGGCGGTTTTTACCGGGGTGACCAAGCCGTCGTACCGGGCTGGGTAATAAGAGAAAAGAAAGAGGGGAGAGGGAGGGAAAGAGAAAGAAGAGGAAAAGAAAAATAAAGACAAGAATAAAAAGGAAGATATCATAATGACCAGACTCACAACACCCTGCAACCCCTTCTCCACTTCAAAAACTGTCATTTATCAACATTAATACATTATGCTAATTTTCATCTTTGTAAGCGCATAAGACAGTGCAAATTATTTCTCTGACAGTTTTGAAGTGTGTAAAGCTCCATTTTATCCCATACATAGTCAAAATATTGGAGGGGATGATACAATGGACCATTCCCCCCCTTGTCAAATATTTGGGGATATATCCCCATCCCCCCCCCCCGGGATCTACGCCTATGACGTTATGTGGTCCCCTTGTCAAAATTTTGGGGATTCATCCCCATCCCCCCCCCCCGGGATCTACGCCTATGACGTTATGTGGTTGGGCAAATTATTAATTATTATTCTTGATCCGACCGTCGACCCCGACGGTGGCGTCGGCCGACCGGGTCCAGTGTCCGACAGGGGAATGCCCTCCCTGACCACCGTCTGCACCACCACTGATAAAGAAGTAACATTTTATCATTGTCTTTACATTCAGAGTAGACATACATTAGCTTTTTGTATGGATCAATATCCACACACGTGAGCTGGTCAATTTCCAACAAATTTTGTTATTAAACATCAACCGTTAGAAGAGCGGGAAAGTGAAACGCAATGCACTCTGGCACTGCATAGCATTTCGCCATAACTTGAAACGATTTTCGTGAAATAATTAATAGGTTTAAAAAAGTACCTTTTGAAAATACACTCCACCCATGCCTGCGGGCTTGTCGGTTTGGTAGGGATATCTCCTTCATGGTAAAGCTCAGAAGTTTTATAATATAAATCTGTTATATGAACAATTTTAGATAATGTTGAATGTTGTGCGTATTGTAATAATTAAAATAAAAACATTTTGTTACATGGCAACTCTCTTGTTACCCGTATCGAGAAGCAAATGAAAACACTGTAATTTATTAAAGTTAAGCCTATTCGGTATACTCAGGGAAGAGTGTAAATAAATTTCCTAGTATAATACAGCTTCATTTCGAAATTGGCTTTATTTTCTTGTTTTATATGTTTACACATTGTCTTCAGGCTATTTTTTTTTTCGTTGGAGGGTTTATAGAAATTAACGTGGCAGAAACCTCATTGTTGTCATCTACCATTTCATTAAAATAACACAAATTTTCCGAGCCCTTTTGCCCCTCGACCCCGACCGGAGGAGGGGGGGGGGCATTGACGGCCCTTGGTGGTCTTGGCAGCGACAGATCGCGGGTTTAAATCCCACCGGGGTAATTTTTATCAAATTGATATGGAAAACTTTTCTTGATATAAGCTATGCACACAATGATTCCACTCGACGGTAGTAAAGATCTTAACACAACAGAGGGCAGCATAGGAGTTTTAGTTTTTCTGAGGTTTTTCTGTGTTGAAGTTGTTTTCTACATTCAGTGTTCAATGTTGTTTCTTTTTTTTAAAAATTATTATTCATCTAATATAAATGTATTTTAATTATTTTATCGTATATTTTATCACTATTGTACTGTCTTTCCTTTAAGTTTCCACTGGCATTTTTTTCTACACGAATAAAGGAAAACATGAAGACAACACATTCCAGACTCAACACACGTTTTTAATGCTACGTGGTACGTTTATTTTTTAAGGAATGCAAATTGACGAATTACAGATAGCACGCAGTTAGCCTAAAGCTTGACTGGCTTTGTGGAAAATTTCTGTTTAAAAAGAAGTTTTTTTAATAATCAATTTTACAATAATTAACATGGATTTAGCCACATACTGTAAGTGGTTACCATTTCAACTGACAAACTGCATGGTTTATTGTTAATTATGGACCTTAAACTAGTTGTAAGCATAGTAAAAAAAAACGACTCCCGACCCACCACCTTGATTTCTATTTCAATGTTGATGATATTATCGGTCACACGACATACAATATCCAAAATTTGACAAGTCAGAAGCATACACTTAAGAAATTGTCATATAAAAAGACTTCTAATGAAAACAATACACATCGTATGTTTTATCTTTTGTGGGTTTTCCCCAGCTTCGGATCCCAGGGGCAGTGCCTTCCCCACCGCATCCGTTGCGTGGCATCGTTATCGGGTATCTAACGCTACCATCCGATAGCCACCCAGCAGCGCAGCGGTCAAGACCAAATGTCTGCGCAGCTGCCAGTTGAGCAACAGTAGCTATGGTGGCGCCCCGGTCGATACAAGCCTGTTTTGCTTGTTCGAAATTCAACTTGTAAGTACCTCCTACTGACACATGGAAAACAGCATCATGATCTGAAAAAAAAAATTCTTCCATTACGGAAAAGTCAAATGCATTCGTACGATTTATAAAATAATTTGAAATATATTAAGATATGGATTGTTTAAACAATTACCAGCAATATATTGTACAGAATCATAAGGACAACAATAACTATTATTATTATTATTATTATTATCATTATAATAATAATAATAATAATAATAATAATAATAATAATAATGATGATGATGATGATGATGATAATAATAATAATAATAATAATAATAATAATAATGATAATGATGATGATGATGATGATGATGATGATAATAATAATAATAATGATAATAATAATAATAATAATAATTATTATTATTATTATATGAATTAATTTATCTTTCAGGTGATGACGAACAGTGCCGCTACATAATAATAATAATAATAATAATAATAATAATAATAATAATAATAATAATAATATATGAATTAATTTATCTTTCAGGTGATGACGAACAGTGCCGCTACAAAGCAACGCCACCCGAAGGAGCGTATTGATCCCTCTTTACACGCAACAACCAGTACTAGTGCTGTACCCGCATAGGCATAGAGTGTAAAATCTAATCAGATTTGCATTCGCAATAACAGCCCCAGTGGCCGAGTAACCATATTTATTACCGTGTAGGCGATACATGTCTCATTGTGCCGAACCTAAAAAAAAAGGGGAATTCTTACGGAGCGAGCATGTGCATCCCTTTATGTCATCCAGAATGCCATCCAGTTCATCAATTTTGTCAGAGAGTTTCTGCGATTGTTCTTCTTGTTTTTGTGTCAGCGTAACAACCAAACTCTCAAACTCGTCTACTATACCAGCTAAGCGGTCTACTTGAGCCTTGATTTTAATCTTCTCAGGATCCTCTGCCGTAAGCACATCCAGGAAGCTATCAACGGCCTTTGAGAATTTTGACTGGGTTGGGCATGTCTCAGGTTGAGTTGTTTGTGCCTAGGAAATTCAACATAAAAATTACATCAATGGGCCTTTTTCATCTATTTTGTCTTCAGATAAAACATAGTAATGTTACATTTAAAGCATCTGATACACCTCTTTATGGAATATAATAAAGGGGCATACATGTAACAGACCTATATATCCAAATGTTCAGTATGAAAAGACACGCTGACACCACAATGCATACTTATGGTTAGGAAAGAGTGAGATTTATGTTTATTTTATATATATAACTTGTTATTGTCGGATATTAACCCATGAATTTTTTTGAAACAATAAATAATGTAATCTTGAAATCATGAGCCTTGAAATAATCTCTATTTAATAATCAAGATTGCCGTTAACATTGTTAAATTATATAACTTTATGACGCTCACGTTGACAGCGAGAGGTCGCTGGTTCGAATCCCCTCGGAGACATTTTATTACACAATTTCTTTATTCGCTTATTTATGGGACTACATTCGCTGAGAGCTATGCTACACGATGTATTATTGTCCTTTATTCGAAAACTGTATTTACCTTTCTTTTATGGTTTATTATATAATTTAACAGTGTTAACGGCAATCTGATTTATGTTATATATAGGCCTATAATATATATATAGGCTATA